AGACATAGAATACAAACTTGTAGTTGCCAAGGGGGAGGGGGTGGTAAGGGACAGACTGGGAGTTCAAAATTTGTAGATACTGACAGGCATATGTAGAACAGATAAACAAGATTATACTGTATAGCACAGGGAAATATATATACAAGATCTTGTGGTAACTCACAGTGAAAAAGAATGTGGCAATGAATATATGTATGTTCAAGTATAACTGAAAAATTGTGCTCTACACTGGAAATTGACACAACATTGTAAAATGACTATAACTCAATAAAAAATTTTTTTAAAAATTCATATTTTCGTGACTCATTCAGACCTACTGAATCAGAAATTCTCGGGGCAGGGCCCAGCCATCTATTTTCATAGATCTTTCGGGTGTTATAATACATACTACAGGATGGACTTAGAGGCAGGGAGGGCTAAATTTATAGGCTAAAAGTATCAGGGCCTATAACAGAGAAGGATGAGGCTTGCCCCTATCCTTACCAATCTAATCCAATCTGTGGATAATCCATGGATACAAGAGATGCTACAAAAACAATGCCAAGACTTTGACTGCAGTTCAAGGCAGTGTCAAAGAGACTTGACAAAGACTTTATTGCCAAATGTTTTCCTTTATATCCCTTCTGTAAGCCCAGTATTGACCTCTTCCTGTCCAACACCAATTCCAAATTGTTCTGTTCCTTTTTCCCCTCTTGTGAATTCTAAGCAAAGCAGTGCTTTTGAAGATAATGCAAGTAATAACTATCGCATTTTTATAATGTACTATGCCTTCTTAAGGACTTTTATATAGATCATGTCATTTGATCTTCACAATTCTCCTGTAAAGTTTAACTTATTGGGAAATTTGTGTGCCAATTTAAAACTTTCTAATAAAGTCCCTGAATTAATGACCACTTTTTGAGAGTAGACTTTATGGAGGCAACTTTATATAAAATTATTTCTAACCTCTACAGCTCTGCAAGCTGTCCCAAGATAGTAAATATACTCAATTCAAGAATGTAGAAAATATATTAAAACATATACTACAACATTACATTAAAATGAAACATTAACTATTTCATGAAGTATGCTAAATTCTGCATGAATTTAATATGGTGCTATTTATTACAAAAAGTGATAATATGGTAAGAGAGAAGCCTTCAATTTCTTGTAATGAGATGAAGGGAAGGGAATGACAATACAGTCATCCCTCAGTATCCTTGAGGGATTGGTTCCCGGATCCACATAAATACCAGAATCCTTGGGGACCCTCAAAGCCCTCTGTATCCTCAAGTTACGCATCTGCAGATGTGGAGGACTGACAGTTATATGGCTTCAAAAATCCCTGCCCTAAAAAAGTCTTTGTTTTCCTTCCATAGTTCCTTAAGATATCTGAACATAATACTTTCTTTTTCCTCCTGAAAAACCTACCATTATATTCAAAATTGGGATAATTCAATAGGACTTGTAAGCTCTAAAATACAATTATTTTTATAACTCAAGAGAAGTGGTAACAATAAAATTCCCTCATTCTTGCAGATTTCCTTGTTCCAGTTGCATTGGCTCTTTGTCTAATGAGTGGTTTCTGTGTGACTCAAACATCTCAGCCACACTGGCCTCTATGATGTCTTCATGGCTAAGGTCATCTGCAAAGGCCATGTTTTATTGACTCTGCAGTATGGTTTCAGTTTGGAGGGAGCCATAATTTTTGTGACCGCTCATGGGACAGATTTTACACAGAACACACTTTGTTAGCCCTGGTCCTGGCTGTCCTTGATACTGCAGATTCACTAATTTTAAGGTAATCCACTTTATTAGTTCATTGAGGAAACTGAAGAGAAGATCTAAACAGGCATTAAGCCTTGAGTGTGACTTTCACACCTTGATCTACTGGCCATGAAATATTTCTGCCTTAGATCATCAGATAAATCACCTAAATTTACAGGCTGGCCTGGGGCATTCTCTATCTGGGTTATAGAACTTCTGAACCAAAGGACAGAAAATATAAGAAAGCCACCTTTGAGAATTACTCATCACTGCTCTGGCCTCCCTGTTAGATCACAAAATTACTTCAGGTTAACTCAGGAGCAGGCCTGGGCAGCCCTGGGATTTTCAGAATAGTAGACAAGTAAACACCTCGATTTAAAGTTTTTCCTCAGTATGGCCTCAGATGATACTGGCTGCTTTAACCTGAGGCACAATTTTCTTCCAAAGAAATAAAAGCCTTTCCCACAATCCTTTCCAATCAAACTCTGTCTTATCAACTGAAAAGTTTGTTTCAATAAGGGAAGCCAGTATGTTAGGAGACTTATAAGATTTGTATGTGTCAGAACTGCCATCTTCCCTGTTCATCTTAATGCTCTGCAAACTAACCCTGTCTTGGAATCTTACAAATTACTGTCTACTAGGTACTAAAAATTTCCATTTCAAAACCATGACTTCTTCAAACTAAGAGTCCTTAATCATTGCAGCTTCTTATAAATCATGATATTCACGTTGAATTGCTTTTGATCCTTTGCCCATACATACTCAACAGGTTTCCATCAAAATATTTTTATAATAAATCAGTTTACTTGCACTTAAAATTATAAGTTTTTGACAATCATTAAACAAATAATTTTTTGATTTTGTATAGCAGAATGTAAAGAGAGTGACTCCAAGTACTTTTGCCATTTAGCCAAGTCTTAATCTTTGTTAAATTACCTTAACACTTCAGATTTTACATGTAACTGAGGAACAGTTTCCTTTTCCTTTGGCATTTTTCACTGTTTGGCTTCTTTCCACAGATCTTTAGCACAGGTTGGAAACTGGTGTGAACATGCACTCCTGGCAAGTGCATTTCTAGAACTATGAAAGGAAGGCTTAACATATTTGTGTTTTAGTCTTTCCTCTTGCCTTGTTCTGCTCTGGGTTTGTGCCTACTCAGCAAACCAGAAGGCATAATCAATTTTCTTTTAAAGTCAAGAACAAAGAAACTAAAATAGAACCCAAGGGACACAGGCATAAAGAAAGAAGCAGGCCAGATGAACTTTCATAGTTATAAGCTAACTAGAGAAGTAAAATTCCAAGAAAAAGTTAAGCAGGATGGCCGCCTGCCTGTTTCCAGCGTTCCCAGAGTCACAGAAAGTTTGAGTCATTCTAAAGATGCTCTGTTGACGCTGTGGGAATGGAGGCTCCTTGTCTGCTACAGCAGCTCACCCGCCACAGTTAGAGGCTCAAAGCTATGAGCATTTTTTGAAGACCAAATGCAGAAAAGTGTCATGAACAGAAAGAGGAATTCTGTTTGGAATTACAAAGCCATTTCAAACTAAACCTCTTAAAAAAAAACAACTTTAACAATACTACCAGATATCCAAAAGCACACACAAAGACAAATGTGACTCCTAAGTTTTGAAAACGAGCCATATGCTGTATGCCACAAAGAGCAAAGGTACTAATGTTTGTCATAGATACAGATATGATGGCTTCTCAAACCCATATGCAAGAGGTTTAAATGCAACAAGACTAGCCCATCACCATAAACCATTTATTTAGATTGGATGTTGGGACATTTTTCAATCAATTCTGGTTAGCTTTTACTCTTTAACTTTTGGGTTCCAGGTATCCAGTAAGATCGTGAATTTATGAACTGAAATGCTCTAAAGGCAGTTTTAAATTGATTGTTAATTTACTGTGCTAGAATAAATGTTCATATGTCAAATGTTTGGCAAATCAAACAGACATATGTGCAAACAAAAGCCAGTCACGCTTTTTCATGTATATGTCTAATATGAAATATTTGTGTGTTGATAACACTGTGCATTGGCATATTTCAAGTGTCATGTGTACCTGGACCCAAAACCTCTGTCAGATTTGGTCAGCCCTTCCAATAAGTTTTAACCTAATCTCCTAGGGTCTCAAAAAGCTGAGGCTTTGTCTTCTCCGGAAGTAAGTACCCAAAGCAACTGATAAAGGGCCACCAACACTGGGACAACATTAAGGATGCCTTGATGACTGACTCTCTCAAAATATTTGCTCAATGCTTTCCCCCCTGCATTTAGATCAACTGAAACTGTCGAGTTTAAAGTTACAAAAGCATGTCTTTCTCCTACTCCATTGTTATGCATCAGTAGATTCTTCATTCTTTATGGCCTATTAGTGCTTTTAAAACGAAAAAGCCGTCTGCTTCCAAAACCTGGCTGGGGAGTCATGAAGTGGAAGCAGAATTTTAATTCACAGAAAACAGAAAATCCCCATTGTCTGGATTGTGGAGCTGGTGGGACTTTTGCTTTGATATTCACAGCATGACAGTAAGAGCTTTCTGTACATGAGGACAATACCCAATTACCTTTGTACAAGTATATCACCATTACAGAGAATGGAAAATGCACAAAAATCTGAGCCAAGAAAGTAAACGAAAAAAAATTAAAGTCCTTATTTTATAGTAAGCCTTTCTTATCTTTCACTGCATACACAAAAATTTCCACATATAGAGTCATCGATTATCCAGATCCAGGTGGAAGGAAGCTAGTCTTAGAGTGCCATCACACCCCTCCTCCCTCAGTGGTTGACAAACATTAATGGACATTCCCACAAGCTGATTTACTGATGAGAAATTTTTCTTAGAGACCTGGGGCTTCCTTTTACAATGCAAAGATGACAATGACTGTTCCATTAAGAAAGCCATATGCAGCTTGTTATCTGCTTAAGGGGGAAACATTTCCCTTGAGTCTAAATCAAATTAATAAATTTAAAATACCTGAGAGGGTTGTTTGGGTGCATTGGACTTTTGGCAGAAGTCCAGAACTCAAAAACCTAATGCATTATTTTACTGTTTCTTTATGAGAAAAAAACAGTCTGCTGCCAATCGCAGTTCAGGAATCATGTGGGGAGGAGAGGAAGGGGATAATTTGCAGTTCATTGATAATGTGAAATATAGATGATCTTAGGAGAATTTTTCTATGTGAACATTCCCTTTAAACAGAGTGAAGGGCCGGGAGAAGGGTAGCGGATGTGGCTGGGTCTGCCTGTGCTGTCATTACCTGGGTAGAGGTCAGGCCCGGGCCCTGGGGAGCATCCCACCGCCCTATCGGCAGCATCTCGTGGGGAAGTGGCGGGCTGCAGGGGCTGCACGGTGAGGCAATCCGTGAGCAGGTCAGGATGGAGCTCTGCACTGGACCGCAGCTAAGAGAAGGAGAAAACAGAAGACAGATGGAAAAGAAAGGCTATTCCTTGGAATACTTCCCTGGAAAGGATATCATGCCCTAAGGTTCATGCAGTTCAATCCATAAATATTTATCAAGCAACAACTATGAGTTAGGCATTAGACTTAACAGAGAGTCAATAAAAGGGTCAGTTTTCCAATTCTAATAACACCTGGCAGGTGTTACAGGAAAAAATGCAGCTAGAAACAGATTTGACTTGGTATTTCCACTTCTGGGAACCCAACTTCCTATAATAGTTCCTTTTATTTGCTCTGTATCTTATCAGAACTTGTAGTGATAACAAAAACAAACTCAAGGATATTTAGTCCATATTGTAAAGTGCTTTTAAAATACAGAGATACTACCATGAAAATATCTTGGAGATAATTAAAAATGTCCTTTGAGATTTGATACCTATAGATTTTACATGAGAGGAAAATACACAAGTTAAATTTAAAAATATTATGGAGCATGATAAAGAGAAAAACCAAAGTCATTATGGGCAACAAAATCTCAACAGTAAGTTATATTTAAAAATTAGATTTCATTTTATCAAAAGAACAAAATTAATTCTTTATATATTGAAGAGTTACATGTAAAAATTCAAACCATAAAAAAATATTAAAGTATCTGATTTCTTTATGAAAAAGGATTTTATAAGTGTCATTTGAATAAAAAAAAAAACAACGGAAGATTTAGTTACAGAAAAAAATACTAACCTTCTGTTTGTATAAAAACACAATACCTTAAAAAATCTAGAAATATATTTGTTACAGATATTGCAAACAGTTATCTTCAGTGTTTAAAAACAACATATAAATTAATTTTGTCTTCATCAAGATAAAACTAACCCTTTAGATACAGGACTGGTGTATACTTACTCATCAGAAACTCCTCTAGACTCTAGAGATACTGTCTTATGGACTTTGGAGGGGAAGAAGGTAATGAACAAATAAAGTATATACCACATCAGATGGTGATTGATGCTATGGAGAAGAGTGATGCAGAGAACGGAGGCAGTGAGTGGAGATAAGGGAGGGCAACTCTAGAGAGCGGGATCCGGGAAAGCCTCATGGAGATGGCACTGGTCAAAAGTCTTGAAGGAAGTGAGGAAGTGAGCCCTGTAGATATATGGGGGAAGAACCTGCTTGCCCCGTGGTGTGTCTGGATTGTCTGAGGAATAGTAAGGCTGGAATGGAGGGAGCCTGAGGCCTGGAGAAGAGAAATAGCAGAAAGCAGAGATGTAAGTAGGGGGCGGAGAAGCAAGTTTAGTGTCCCTGTCTTCCTCCTTCCCACATGAGGGGACCAGAAAAGGGCCTTTCCGATCACTGAAGGCTCTTAAAACATTCTCTAGTCCAGGAATTAACAAATGCACGTGGTGGGAGGCATACAGCTGAATTTTCCAGGAGAGGATTGTCTCACTGTGCAGCCCTTGACATGAGCAAAAGTTTTTTAAAAGGAGAAATAGAAATGAGAATAAACATTAAAAAATTCAGCACAATTGCAAAGAAATGCAATGCTAAAATTAAAAAAAACTTATGAAATGATCAAAAACCATAAAAAAGAAGTGGTTTTAGTGAAGGCAGAGTGAGAGAAGCATTCTTAAACACTTTTGGTAGGAGTGCATATTATTACAAACTTTTGATATGATATTCTGGAATTTTTTTTAAGACCTATAATTGAAATCATTTGCTTTCAGAATCTGTCTTTAGGAAACAGAAAGGTGAAGGAGATTTATACTCAGTGCTCTAATGATATATAGCATTACTTACAGCAATATTAAAAATCAGAAAACGCTACCTAAATGTCTAACAATTATGGCTAATTAATGATGTTATATCAATTTGATGGAATATTATGTAACCATTAAAATGATATTCATGCAGATAAATGCAAAACAAAATTATATACACAAATTGATAACAATTACATTAAAACACACAAAATACTATAAGGAAATGTAATTGAATACTGAAAGTGATTTCTTTACTTCAATTATTAGGAAAAGCAAGTATCCTTACTTTGAAGTCCTTATTATTTCACAATTTAAAAAAAAATAGAAAGGCAAGCTTTCTGAAAGTTCAGACACTTCTTTTAATCACCTCTACCAAGTATGGAAATCCTCTTCAGAGTCCTAGAAGCAAGGAATTCTGGTAGAATTCATGCTGGATAGCTCAGAATCAATATTCTTCAGAAAATGGATAGTTAAGGTGATTAAAAAAAAGTGGTTTTTGTTCTCAGCAGCAATATCATGAATTTATTTTCTCTGTTTTCTTTTTATCCTTTCCTCTGCTTTCCAAATTTTCTACATTTCAATGATGTGTTGGAGCTGGCTTGCACCAATCCAAGAGTGCCAATTATGTGTACTTTTTCCAAACTTTACATGCAATGTCAGACTGATGGCCTGACATTGGTCCTGGTGATAACATTTATACTATGATAATTGACAAATGCTACACATTGGGCTTTTTCTTCTGGAGAGCTGGTTGTTAAATACTACCAGCATGCCACAGGCAATGACCCTGCTCAGAAAAATACACACGCACACATACAAAACATCAGTAAGTTACTATTTAGAGAGCAGTATTTCTTGGAACTCTAAAAGCTTTATTAAGAGACAAACATATATCCAGGTCTTAATTCAAGAATATGAAAACGGCACAGTGACCCTAAGTAAAGGTAAGGAGCGTGTAACACATGCAGTAAATACGACATAATTATATCATAATTTCTCCGTCTTGCCACATTGGAATCTCTGACCAAGATTATGTGGGTTAATGCCTAACCCTCTCAGAGTTTTGGAAGGTATGTTTGTTATTTTGGTACTAACCTAACACATGCCGCGTAAGAAAAACTGGAAAAAAATCAAGGCTTAGAATGAGTTCTGGTGATCACTTTAAATTTATCTTTCATCGTTAAAATGTGATCTGGGACCCACATGTTCTACTAAGAGTAGACGTGAACATCTCTCTGCTTTCTATTACCAACCACTCTAGGGTTTTACAGATATGAGTACTGATGAAGTTTTTCCAAGGAATTTCACGGCCATGGTTACTCCTGGAGTCAAAGGCAGACAATTCTTCCGTAGCTGCAACAAGTATTCATGCTTTCCAAGAGTGTGATTCCATACGACTCTGTGGTGAGAGTTAATCTGGTTTTCCCTGGGATTAGGCATGGTTCTAGAAAGTGCTTCTTAAATTGAACAAGCCTTGAGGACCTTATGCAAAATTTCCAAAGGCGGGCCACATGCATAGAAATGCAGTAATGATATGCAAGTTTAGCATCCCGCTCGCCTTCCAGAAAGAGCCTTCCAGATCATTTAAGGCTCTTAAACATTCTCTAGTCCAGGAATTATCAAATGGGTGAGTCAGGAGACACACAGCAGAATCTCCTGGGAGGGATATCGTTCAATGTAATACGTTTTACAGTTGGAGTAAGAAACCCAATTATTTATATAAAACATCTTCTTAGCAGCTAGGAATATAAAGAAGATAGAGGAAACTTTTTCAATGGGGGATGGTCTCTAAGTGCGGCTGTCAAACCTGGGCTTGACTCAGAATCATCTGCAGGCATCACCTCAGAGCTGCTGACTCTGGAGCCTGCCATGCATTGCTGAAAGCTTCCCAGGTCATGACGTTGCTGTTGTCTGGGAACCACACTTTTGGAGCCACTAAGAATCTTGATGAGAAGATTCTCTAGGAATCCTGATTAGAAGAGCTGAGATTTTTCTGGTTATGGGAAGAGGAAATGAACTGTAGAAGTAAGGAATTATAAAAACCAAACTGTCCTTAAGACATGAACCTCATGTAACTGTTTCTTATTATGTCTCCCTTCAGACCTCATAATAACAAATGGTTAGATGAAATTCATTTCATAAGGACAATTTGGATTTTTATCATCTTTCACAGGGATTAAAAAGGGTTAAAAAATTTCAATCCAGTTTAATACTTGCCCTTAGAGGACAGCAAGGACTTGCCCTTTATGAAGGCTTTACTGCCCTTTACAGAAAGAAGTGGAATTTGAACGCACCGATCATCAGTTTACCTGTTTGAAGGGGCTGCTGTGTTGCATTCCACTAAGGACCTTTATTCACATTGCAACCTATGTGAATGTCGCCCCTGGAGTTGTTCACCTCACCTGCCCTAACCACACCCCATTAGTTCCAGAGTAGAACTGCTCTTCTTTATCCTTCTCTTTCATTCACTGAACAAATATTTCTTGGGCCTCAACCATACACCAGACGCTGTTCTAGGGCCTTGAAATGTGTCAGTAATCAAAACAGACAAAGATCCCTGCTGAGGAATCTATAGTCTAGAGCGAGGAGTAAATAGTAAATAGACAAACTAAATAAGTAAGCTGTATAGAAGGTGGTAAGTGCTATGGAAAAAAGAAAAAAAGAAGGGTAGGTGGGATTGGTAACATTGGGGAGAAGTGAGGTCTTGTTGAGAAGAGATGGAAGGAGTTGACGAAATTAGCTAAGTGCACATCAAGAGGAAGAGAGCTCCAGAACAAGAAGGCCAGCGTGGCTGGAGTGGGGTGTGACCTAGGGAGGGAAGAAGGAGATAAGCTCTGAGAGGTGGGGTAGGGACGGAGCCAGATTACAGGACCCTGCAGCCCTCAATGAGCACTTTGGCTTTTAGTCTTAGCACAGTAGAAGACCCTCGTAGGGTCTTCATCATTTGCTTCCTGGGAGACTCCTCTCATCCCCTATTACCCACAGCCTCATAGGCGCTGTGTCTTTCCTTCTTTGAGAGTGCACAAGAGCTGTAAGGTAGGGATATACTGTTGGTCAGTTTTGTGTCAACGTGTCTGTACTACAGGATCCAATTATTCAATCGAACATTAAGTGTTGTTGGGAAGGAATTCTGTTGATAGGGTTAGCATGTACAGTCAGTTGACTTTAAGTAAAAGAGGTTATCTTCCATAACCTGGGTGGCCCTCATCCAATCCGTGAAAGACCTTAAGAGCAAAAACCTAAAG